GACTTGAATCATGAACTGTAACAGTTATGCAGGTTGGATGACAGAAGCTTTTATTTTTGTATATAAAACAGTCTGCGGAAAGGCATGTGAGTTAACCAAAAGGGTGCAAGCTTAAGAACAGCTTTTACAAGAGGCAAAGGCAGCAGCCATCCTACAGCAACAGGCTGTGATAGGAGCTACGGAGATAATGAAAACGTTACGGCAGAAAAATAAATGACCACAGGCATGTTGATGCCTCAGAAATTTGGTCTCTCCTCATCCTGTTGTGTACTGGTCACATCAGGATGACGCTGCAAAATTATGATATATAAGGCCACACACACCTTTCGAGGTGGATCCCACCAGAACTCAAGGACCACATTCCCTCCGTGGGGATGTCTGCTAAGCTTCTGTGTCCACCCCCACAGATGGCACTCTGGACTCATCACTGTATTGTATTAACAACCATAGAAAGGCACCTGGTCTGGCAAAGGGCCAGGGTGTTGCTGCTGTTTCTGTGCTGCTGTACTGGATAGGCTGAAACTCCAGTGTGAACTTAAGGTGAAAGGACTGTGAAGAGATTGTGACTTGTTGATGAGACATGATGAAGCAGATACCCACCTGCAGCCTATGATGTGGACTATACTGATGATGGACTCAAGCAGGAACCCCTTGTTGCTAGCCAGGCTGGGAACAAGGAGAACAGTTCATTGCACTGTTACACCAGATGGCCTGGACCAAAAGGACCAGGGATGGAGAGTGTAATGGAGGTACCTTTAAATTGTTTAAACCATGATTTGAGTTGTGCGTTACAGGAATTACTATGATACACCAGGAACCATCTGAACTAATGGAGGAGAAGCCTGACAGGAAGCAGTGCAAGTGCAGCAGTGACCTGACCTGAGCTGGATTTCGTGTCTGTTAACTCCAAGCAACACATCACCTCTCCTGTCCTGAGTGACCACCAAAACAGATGGAGCCTGAAGTCATGGACTAGATTAATTTAGCAGAAATTTTGTGGACATTTTGCAGGGGTGACCCATAGACCAAGGGAATAATATCTGTGCTTTAGATCAAAAAATGTGAATAGAAATGGTTGTTAATGAAATTGTATTAAATAGCGTAGGACCTCAACATGATGTAAATAGTATAGAATAAGGAGTAGAATGTGTTGATTTGAGCTGAAGTAGGGTTGACTTTCTTCACAACAAGTGATGACGACAATCAAGAAAGGTGATACTCTCCTACAGTCTAAAAAGATGTAAAGTTGCATATGGATCTAAGCTTTATGTCATCTGTTGATCTCAGCCAAGGACTAAAGTTACTGGTTACTTCACCTTAGTAAAAAATATTGTCACTTTAAGAATAATGTTCACTACTGCTTCCACTGCAATTCTCAGGAACTTCCTTAGAAACCTCGAAAGTGTGAACTGAGTCAATCAAGAGTATCTTTCAAGCTAAAAAGCTAAAGCAGAAAATTTGTATCCGGTAGTTTTATTAGACAAAAATATTGCACATTCAATAGTCCTTTCGCAAATTACCTAACTGTCTCATATACTGTTGATACAGCTGGCAGAACAGATCCAAACCATCGTGAACACACTGCAGCATCTTGAATTCCACTTTTTTATAAATTATCTGCTAGGATAAATATTTTTTGCCACTTCAGTCTACAAAAAACCCCAGTCAAAATAGAGTTCTGCCTCCAAAATAATCAGTGAAAGGATAGTAGAGCAAAACTGATCTCTTTTCTTCAGCAATTCTACTGAAAGTGATCAAAGCCTTAATTTTGGAAACTATTAAAAGTTTTGGTATCTCAGAACCAAGATTTGGAGGCACCTCTAGCACGACAGAAGTACAACTTACCAGGATCCTTAAGATGTTCTCTTCCCGGAAGGTCATCAGCATTAATATCTCCTAAATCACCAGTTTTAGGGTCAATGGATGCTTGTGAAAGCTCATTTTCAAAAGCCTGAATCTCCTCAGCACTTGCTGTACGTTCCAAAGACTCTGTAAACACTCTTATAATTCCATCACTGAATAGAGAGAAAACATTCAAACAGAAATAATTTTAAATATCAAAATGATTACATAAATTCTAAGGGTGACTTCTAAGTAATGAGAAACCATCACTACTTCCAACTACCCCTCCCAATTATTCTATGAAAGGAACTCAGTCTCCTGCTAAAACCACCCAGAGAAGGAATCAAGCAGGTACGACTGTGTTCAGTAGAATTTTAAAATCAAGATAGGATATTGGATGAGGGGATTGAGTGCACCATCAGCAAGTTTGCAGA